GATCGCACGAGTAAAGTCACATTTCTTTGCTAAAATAACTTGTTTTATAAAGGTACATTATACTACGTGTTTTGCCTAGGTCCCAACAATTAATTATTGCTTTTGTTTAATTATCGATTTCCTTTGCAAAGGAAATTGTGGTTCAGAATCGTTTTAGCTACCCCCCATTTCCGGTTCTTACACTAATTCTAGGACGCCCTGTATAGCCAGTCCCAGAAATATTCTACTGCAACATTTAAGTACAATTATTGTAACAGAAAATCAATTTGATTGACAAATTAAGTTTTTCCTTCTCTCTCTCTAATTACAAAGATATAGTTACATGTATAATAGATATGCGTTGATCTCGGTAGCCTTAGTGTTAATCGATCAAACCTTGCGAATAAATCACTATACGTTAATTCGATTCCATATCTATTACTCGACGAGTTTTCTCCTTCTCTCTAATTACGAAGATATAGCTATATGTATAATAGATATGCAACGATCTCGGTAGTTTTAGTGTTAATCGATCAAACATCGCGGATAAATCACGTGGGTTTGATTCCATATCTATTACTCGAGGAAAACTTGGCCCATCTCTGAATTCTGCTTATCTCCATTGCAAACAACGCCGAAGCGTTCGTGTTTGCGTCGACTTTGTATCCCGTTAATTAATCGAATTAAAATGAAGTTATCAGCGGCTGTGTCCCCGTCACGAGACTTTGTCGTGGCGAAGTTTTCCGCTCGCGATAAAAAGAAAAACCACCCTTCCGAGCCCCGGTTTCTTAACGACGTAAAAGGCGCGAAGAATCCGCTGAAAGAGCACGTACTCCACGGTCGGCCCGTACAAACGCCGCCCAGGACGCATGCGCTTATTTATTAGCGCGACTGAAAATCGATATTAGACCTCTCTCACTCCCTCGCACATACCCCGCTTAATATTTCTTTCGATTCGCTGCTCTTCGCTGCGGAAACGCCGCACAGTGGGGCTTTTGCATAAAAAGAAGAATCGGCTAAAATTGTTGGGTCGATGCATAATTATTCGATGTTCTTTTTATTTGTTCCATTTTATCACTTGAAATTAGTGTTAAGTTTTGTTTGTTTCAGACAAAATTTGTGAAGGAGATAGTAGGGCAAAGTTGGGTAAGATGACGAATGGCTGTAAAACTGATCTTCGTTTAATTGGCAGAAATTTGACACGTGGTATCATGTGTGCATTGTTAAACAAAGCAATTATATCTATAATTATTCATGTATCATGCAGTAATTCTTTTGTTAACCATTTGGCCTACAAGTACGAGTGAGACTCGTTGTAAGGAATTTGGGCTATAAACAACAAGTACGTGTCTGACTCGTCGCACTTGCTGCGAACTTGAGTAGGTCAAAGGGTTAATATTGGTATACACGATTTGGCGACTATTCATGTAATTTTTTGCTGTGTTTATTTAGCGAGTTTTGTGTCACTCAAAGTTAAAGCCACAATACAATGTAAGAATTCGAAAAGGATACCTTTTCCTGCGTAAATTACTATAAAAATTGTTTACTGTTGAAGGAGTAGATGTATGTATGTGTTAGATCTGATGTTTTCTTTTTAAAAACATTTTGTTCTCGTCAATTCAGTGAAACAGAAAATTTTTCGATCGACGGAATTTATTTATTTGTACGATCGGTCGGGATCAAAAGGATTTGTGAAAAAAACACAAGCGGTTTACCGAGGTATTAAAATGAATAGGTTGTCGAGTATTCGTCCGGCACAATGATTCAAGTTATTCGAAGGGTAGCAACTAGCAACTAATAGCAGCCAATTTCAGTCAATTTTTGTCTATAACAAATGGGATAGGACGAGTATATTAAAATTAATCATGGAGAATCGTACATGGAACTAATAATTAATTTTCTATTGTAGTCAGAAGTATAAATCAACAAAGAAGGGTATGTAAAACTCGATCGATCGATGTTGCGATTCTTTGGACTGAGTCATCGTTAAAATTTCTGAACCATGAATACTTCCTGAAATTTAATGTAAAATCTTGATTACTCTCCGATTTTGAAACTAATTCAAGAAAACTTGTCACAAAGTCTGCAAGTGTTTTTACATTAAAATAACAAACCCGTGTAGGTAAATGACATAAATGTTGTATTTGTCTCGAGAGAAGTGCATACGTAAAAAATAAAAAAACACTCGAGAAGTTGCGAAGAACTTTGTTACTTTGAAGTATTCTTTAAAACGCTCGACTTCCCCTCGGAGACTCTCAACCTTGGACGGAAATGGACGGTTCCTAAGCGAACGATCCGAACAAAAAATTACGGGCCTCCGTAGTTCGTACGTTTGACAAAATTATGCAGTCAAATTTTGTGGATTGCCTATTGGGCAGATCTTTGATGCAAATACTCGAGCGTGCAGCGTTCTGATGCGACTTTCGTTATCCGCGGCCGAGATACGAACGATTTTCCAGCGGAAGACGCAGCTGCCTGGGGCTCGACACGAGAAATTGGTCCTCGGCGTGTCGGACAGGCCGCGGGGATCGCTTCGATCCTTTGGATCGGATTGGATCTCTTAAAAAATTTATTCGGTCGAGGGATTCCATCCGAGGAGAACCGTGAAAGCACACCAGGAACGAGCAGGATGGCTCCACTTAGGTTTCAGTGGGCCGAGTAGCTGGAAGACTGAAGGGTTGCTATCTTTTGTAATCTGTTTTTCTTTCGTTTTCATTGGCTCACCCGTTAGAAGAAGCTCAACAGTGATGGAAGATGAAACTACCTTTCTGTCCATGTTGTCGTTTATCAGGGATAATTGTTTCAAGAGCGTTATTTAAGAGTTATTTTATTTCTTAAATAAACTAAACTTAGTAAACTAAGAACAATAATTTTTCTCTCATTTTCAATTGGAATGATCCTGTGATAGAGGCTTTACTCCGTTAGAATCTCTCCCGATCAATTTTGTCCTTTCCTTACGGATGTTTAGTTCTGTGTCATTATTGGCGAGGAATGTTTTGGAGAAAAGAAGCATTTTTTTTATGAGGCGTATTTTATTTTTATAAAGATATTCTTTTTTTAGAAGGAGAAGAAGAGAAAGAAGTATTATTTACAATATGTATATCTTGTCTAATTTTGAATTCAAATAATTTTTTGAAATAGACTAATTCGCTACGGACATCCCTTTGATGAGCTCTGCCCTCGGAATTGTTATTTTAATAGTGTTAACGGGGAACAGTGTATCAAAGAGGTGAACGAACAGAAATCATTTGTAATGCATCGTATGGTTTATTCGATTGGACTGATCACTTGGGAACTTTACTCGGAGATCTCCTTTTGATGAGTTTTTCTTATTCCTGGGCTTGATTACTTAAAATGTTATTAAAAAGTTGTGTATTGAGCTGGAAGTGAAAGGTTCATTCGTGGTACTCCATCTCTTGTATTTAATTACATTCAGTCTCGTAAAGAGATTTTCTTAAAGGATACTACTAATAAATATTATCTTGTTCTCGGACGTTATAATCTGGAATGATTATTTCAGTTATGCCAGGGAAGAGTAATCCGTGGGAGTGGTTGTAGAAGGACCATTTGTTATGTACGTTGATTCTTGTCCTTAATTCCACGTAACCCGTTACTAGGGGCGTATTGAATATAGCATCTGAATAAATTTCACGATATTCTGATAAATAATTACTTTAAATACGTCATGCGAAAGGGAATCTTCAGTCAAGAAAGACGGCACTGCCTTGGAATGGGCATAGCATAATTAATAACTTATTTTACTTTTAATTGGGTCACTCTTCTGCGAATTACTTTTGTCGCCACTTCTGGCATCTTTTATCATGCATTTAATTATTAAGAGTAGAAATTAATTTTGTGTCTTTCTCTGTTGGTAATTTAAAGTAACAAAATGACAAGGCAACATTTGTGCTTAAACTAAAATTGTAAATGTGTATATGTAAAGGCATGGAATTAATTTTCATTTTCAAATAGAATTAATTTAACTTTCTCAACATTGAATATGATTGACGAAACTTACTCGAAGAAAATATCCTTTCGATTAAGTTTGTCTTATTCGCGAATCGTAGAGTGTATCAGAAAATATAATGTTCACAGACACGGTAATTCCCTTGATGAGATGAAAGAAGAAGGAAACATTTATAATGCAGTTTATCATACTTTCAATTAGAATAATTGTCTGGGAGAGACTTTCTTGAGCGAGATACCCTTTTAATGAATTCTGTCTTGTCTTGGGGATGGTTATTGAAGAGATTTGTCTGAAAGAGGTAAATGAAGATGAAGGATCATTAGTTATGCAATCGTATCTCATCTTGAATTGAAACAATTTTTTAGGAAAGGTCTATTTGAAGAAGATCTCCTTTTTATTAACTTTCTTGGCGGAAGTCGTTATTTCAAATGTGTCATTAAATGGTACCGTCTCGAAAAGGTGGAAGAGAAGGGGTTATTCGTAGTATCCGAATACATATCTCGTATTTCATTGCAACGAATCTTTCCTGAGAAATTTATCCGAAGACTTTCTCCAATCGATAAGTTTTGTTTTATTCTTCAGAATGATAACTTTACAGCTACCATTCTGAAGAGAATGTTCAATTTATGAAGATGAAGGTTCCACAATGGGACGGGAGAGGAATAGTAATTTCTAATGCAAATTCTTTTACTCTCAATTGGTATAATCTTTCGCGAGTGATTCACTCGAACGATATTTCCTTATCATGGATGTTGTTCTCTCGGCTACACTAATTGTGTTATTGGAGAATAATATTGCGAAGAGACGAACGAAGAGGATGCTCATTTATAGAGCATCGTAACGCAATTTCAATCGAATTGATATTTTGTAGAAGATACCTAAAATAAGCATCGTGATAGAAGGATACGAGTGGCATTTGTGGTGCCATTAATCTTTCTTTCAACCGAATTGAAAATCCCAATCCAGCTTCTAATCAATAGTGTTGTCTTTATTTTTACTTCTTAGAATTAATAATTTTAGAATTGTTACTGACAATTCTATCTCCAGCACATAGATGTGTACATAACGTTTACCGAGAAAGAACAGCATAATTAATTTCTTATTATTTTAATTTCTTAATGTAAGGAGCCCTTTGCTACTATTATTCCTAAAATAAAAATATGTTGACCGTTGTATTTCTAATTACTTTTTAAAATTACTCCGTTATTAACAATACCGTTGTTGCAATTTTAACGACAATCATTGAAATAGAAAACTGATTATATCGATAAATTCCTCGAGCTCTTCCACCCTCTAATTTTAAATACTCATATTGGACTGTTTTAAATAGGTATATGTTAAAAATGAAATTAACAGAATGTTACGATGTATGTTATCCTGTTTTTAATTGATATGCTGCCTTTGGTGCGGGCATATTTAATGGAGATCTTAATTTAATGATATGGGTCTTGTTTTGGCAATTGATTTGTTTAAAATTATTAGATACTGTGCTTTGTAATTTAATTACAATCTCTCTTTGAAGCATTGATAGCATTGATAGCATTATGTACCATGTTTTCAAAGGAATTTATTCAAAAATTCTCTTTCTCAGTAGAGGTTCAATTTCATAATTAAATACAAACATTGCCTCTCATCTACGAGCTTTACAGGACGTTACAATCTCTAAATGGCTTGCAATTATTTGTGCTCTCTGTTTGCCATATTTCGCGTTAAATTGCGAATGAAATGGTAATAGCGATACAGGTGTTCGCCTAAATAATTGATATATTTAAATTTAATAAATCTTATTTCATATTTTATTTACCGCTATTACAATTTTCAGAAATATTAAAGTTAAATAAGTTTTCTAATATTACTTACTATTCTGTCTGGGAGTTTCTGACTTGTATATCATGGATACCGTAAATATTAAATGGAAGAAAATGGAAGAAATTTAAGAAAAGCTGTACCATAAGTTCGAGTTCATACATTCCAAATGAAAATAGCTGGCATGGTTCTAGGAACATAGGAAGTTTCGCGTTCGTGGACTCTCACTACTACCATAATGAATGCTTTCTTTATTCTGTTTAGCTAGTGAATTTCATTTTGCACGGTCGTAAGGCAAGTTTACCTCGTTGCAACTGAAACTTTTTTATAAGAAAAATCAATCTGTTTTTTAAACAAAGAACTAAACTAAAATTATCTCATTTAAAATTGCTTAGTTTTCATGAAAACATGTTGTCTCTAATGACGGAGAGTTCGATGAAAGAGTTTACTTTGTGAAACCTGTTTGAGTTGTTCATCATAATAACTAGACTGCTTAACACATTCGCGACTGGTTTCTATCTAAAATATGAAAATCTTTTTATTTTCTATACTACATATTTACAACATGTTATTCTGCTTAGAAGAAAAAGAATTTTCATTTTCATTTCTTTGCCTATATGTGTAGAAATGTAAATTTGCATTAACATCCACGGTCTAATGATGTCATGCACATATCAAAGTAAAATAAACTGTGCTACGAGAGTAGAAATGTTTATCCGTTTATCTCGAGAATAATGCAAATGATAAAAAGGTAAAACGTTAAAAGTTATCCTTAAACGGAAAAGGGGAAATCATTTCGAGAGCCTCTGGAATGTAACCAGCTCAAACAGGTTGAACGCGCTCGGACGAACGGGGGTCAGTCCTTTCGTTTTAGCGAATGCGATGCAGGGAATACATAATGAGAACAGCGAGAAACTCTGATTGAATGTTCGGTCGATTAAACAACGATACCGCACGTGTCGTTTAATTGATCGTTTCGCACGGGCCGAATTATTCGCGGCAGTCTTTCTTCCCAGAAAAACAAAGACTCGATCGAATGAATATTTTTTCTCTTCTGACGCTTGGAGTCAATTAAATTTACGAAGAAATTGTTCCTAGAAATTCCATTTACCATTATCTTTCAAACTGAATGGCTCATATGTAGCAAAGAAACAAATTTATACAACTCAACTAGAATTCAGTTTCATCTCATATATTTACATTTAATTCACGTTCATCATTAAGTCTCTGTTTCTGTGCACAACTGTTCTTCTAATATTTAAACTTATTTCTCGTTTAATGTTGTAGAGCGTTGGCGAAAGCGATACATCGGAACGTATCGTGACGCAATCGTTTTAATTTGTTGTAGTATCGATAGAGGAAACCGTGTATCAATCGATTTTAAGTAAAATTTCCTGATACGCCAGGCAAATTTGTAGATTCGTTGAGAGGTAAACGCGGCTAACGAGCGAGTGGACGCAATTTTGTTTCAATTTCCACGGAGATGCAGAGAGAGTTTGCACGCAATCGCGCGCTAGGTGGCCGTATACATTTTTATTTCATCCGGAAAATGACATTGGCGTCGAGTTTCCGAGGCAGAGAAGATAGTGATGTCAGTTTCGACGTGGGATTTGGCGTCAGAAATCGGAACACGGTTGCCGGAACGATCCCGAACACTATTTATTCAAAATCATACACGTAGAAGTACGTAGCTGCATCGTGCGTGACTGCAACATCCGAAAATAGTTGGATGTTTGGAAAGAAACATGTTTATTGGTAGGCATAACCCTGAAGACGATGAAAATTCATTCTTTTGTTCATTCATTCTATCGAACCCCCTCCGGTACGCTTGCTCGTCTCCCACTGGAACAGAATTTACTGGCCTACGGGAACGTTCCGTTTTCTTGGCCGTGATTCATCGACCTTTAATTTCAATCGGTTTTCCAGCGACTAGTCCGAGGTCCGACTATTCTTCGTTCCTTCTACTCGTTCATTCGTTGACGAACTTCTCAGATAAATACAGCAGGAAACTTGGACATATTGGCTATGAATCACGCAGATATACGTGAAAAAATAAGACAAAAATTTGGTGTATCGTTTTCTTATTCGATAATCGATTTTCTTATAAAATTCTAGGGTGTTCGAATATTACAGTTACTCGCTGTATGATCGTCGTAAAAATTCTTCCGTTCACGGGAAACACCGGAGGATATTGATTTATCCGTCTCTATTTCGATGTTACGCCGCCACCCGAAACTGTTTCTACGGGGTGTCGGCAAATATCTCGTCGATTATCCGCCAAACGGGAAACAACATGTCGAGATACTACATTTTATTCCCACATCGTAAAGATTTTTTCATTGTTTACGCTCTAATTTTAACAGTTAATTGCGCGGAATCTTTGATCATTTATTTGTCGCGTATGCGGTAGCTCTGTTTAGCAAGTGTCAACATTTCATAATGGAAAATATTCCAACAACATATTCTAACAACGTCGCCTAGAAATAATCGAAATTTATTATTAAAGCAATTCTTAAAGCAGTTCTGTTCAGTGAACATTCCATGGGTTAGGTGAAATTTACGGAGAAAAGTATCACCTGGCCACCGAGATCGTATGATTTCATTTCAGATTATTTACTCATGAAGTACATTAAATTATTGGTTTATCCCAATAAAATTGTCGACTGGAAGGCTAAATTATTCGCGTAATTTGTGGAATTGAGTTCCATTTGTGCGAGAATGTTGTTGAAAGTTGGACAAAAATCGCACAGAGCCACGGCGGTCATTTGCTTGATGATAGTTTTCATTCGTAACATAAAGAAAATATTTTGAAGTAAAATAACGAATATTGCAATATAATCATTATAACACGTTTTATTTAAGTTTGAAGTCGGAGGGTTTACTTCAAGAAACTCTTTACAAGTATAAAACCTCTGTGAAAGTATACAAAACTTCGGTGACTTGAATTATGTTGTATGGCAGATGCTTTTGAATATCCTTTCTTAATTCTTTGCCCTACCATTTACTTTGTGACCGCGCGTGTCCGACTCGTGCTTTTCACGTTCGACCTAATTCTGTACCACGAGTCTCACACGTTGTTGTAGGTCAAGTGGTTAGCTGTTTGGTGGTACAAACAATTAATTTTTAATACAGAAACATACCACTTTCTTAAACATGTTGGGTTGACTACTGATCAAAATGCGTGTGTATGAAATAAGATATTTTCAAGAAAAGTTATCTTTATTTTCCAAACAAGGACGTAGGCTTGATACGAAACGTAGAAACAGGAATTATTTAACGAACCTTTACGAATCCTAAACCATTTCCAGCCGTTGGAGTAAATAAATGAACCCTCTATGGGCCAAACTATTAGGTTGTCCTAAAAGTTTCTTTCGCTTTATTAATAAGTAATACATGCACAATATTTTATGTTTTATGTTACATTACTGAATTGTGCACGATTCATTTTGCTCCATTACTGTTACAACATGAATATCTATGAAATTAGATTGTTTATTTATATAAACACGACCACATAAAATAACTGAGTGCAACTCGCGTAAGAAACCTTCGAGACAACCTAATATTTTTCTATAGACAACTTGCGAGGCATTTACTTTGATATTTAAAGTTGACGGTGCTGGTAACAGTCATCGATATTGTTAATGGTTATCAGTAAGACTGCGGATCTTTATGCAAACTAAAATCTTCGCAAACGTGCCTACAAATATTGAACCTAAATAGGAATTTATTTTATTCTGCAAATATTATAACATGAACTTTACTTTCAATCTTTTTTATATTCTTGCATATTGTTTGCATTTTGTAGTTTCTCGCACATTCAAATTTCCCATAAATGCATAAAAATCCGCAGTCTAGTTATCAGAGACATATTTCAAAATTAAGACGTACACGTTATCTTGCGATCCCCGCACGCGCACGTGCGTGCCCCGCGAATCTTTCGTTTCGGTTTCCTAGTAAACGAACCCTCGCATGGCGAAACCTTCCTCCACGCCTTCGATTCAATGTTTGATTCAAGAGCCGAACATCTTCCGCGACGATCGTACAATATACGAACGGCTGCGATCAATGTCGCAGAAAATGGTACGAGAAACGCAACGGTCACCCCAAAATGGGAACATTCCGAACAAGGGCACGCGGAAACTCTTTCATCCTCTCCGCAAATAGAATCGGTATTCGGCACCCGTCCCCTCCGCTGGAATACGAGAGCGGGATTTCCAAATCCGCGTTCAGGAAACACGTCATCCGCGTCGCTGTGC